AATAGCTAAATCCATTATAACTTGATGGCCCAAGACCACAGTTATTTCTACTATATGTTTTATATATACCCTGAATGAATTTGCAATTTTCTAAACGTTTCAAACAACATCATTTACCCCGACTATGTAGAACTATCCCAGAGAAAAGTTAAGTTAGTTGTAAATATGGATTGAGCGCCTGCTGTTTTCAAAACTTTCACTTTTATGAAGTGCATATGATGATATGCTGTCATGACGGCCGTAAATAGGCAAACATCCCGTACAAATGATCATTGTGCATATGCTAACAATCAAATTGTTTCAAACTTCACATTTATAAGCCAGTTTATATCTCCTCTGTTAAATTAGTCCTTTTTATAACTAACGTGCAATAGTTCATAAATATTCAGCATAAAACATAGGCACTATTTCTCGTGTAACTATTTCCTTATTTAGTAAATTGATGAGCAATAATTGTGACGTTACAAATGATATCCTTTGCTGAGAAAGACTGCATACTTATGCGCTCTTTTAAAGTTCCCCTATCATGCTGATCTTTCTTTCCCGTTTTCAGCAATTAGAGGAGATTTATTCAAGTTGCTTTCCTGAACACATTTATCAGATATTCTAATTTAGAATTATCAGATGAGGTGCTGACTAATTTTGTCGTGGATAAGATAAATTGCGACCTTTTTAAAAAATAACAGTTCACTTCTGAGAATAGAAGACATGATAAATAGATTCTTCCTACAGATGTAACAGAAAAGGGATATTAAAAACCCCTGCCAGATACATATCGATAACTTGCATTACAAACACCTGCAAGATATTACAGTGATTTACCTGACAAAAAGTATGTAGAAAAAGAATAATTTATAAATATTAAAGTGATAATACCGGTCAACAAAAGTCAACAAAATGAAGGAAATAAAGAATTAAAGAAAACAGAAACAAACAAATTAAAAACATTATTATCATTAAAAATTAATGTAAAGTTTCATGCCCTAAAACAGTGTACACAATTACATGGCATACACGAATAAACATTTTGAAAACAAAATATATACGTTTAGAGCCGGTCGAGCCGGATTTAATTTAGCACTTTTAAAATTGGTGCATACTATCCGTTGACTGCGGCTAGTTTACAGAAGGAATTTTTATTTGTTATTTGCTATAATAATAATGCATATCGGCATTGCATATAAATTGTTGAGCGATCATGAAATTTGTTTTCTGTTCAACGTTTCCTATTTTTCTAACTAAATTGGCGACCTCGATTTCGCTTATTTAAGTAAGGTCACGTGATATTCATTGCTTTCGTACTTTTACGGAACAATTAATACACATTCGCAATACTCCGGAAAATTTAAACAAATTTAAGACCTCTCGACAATAAGAATTGTTGAGGAATCTGTTTGAATCTGTTATTTTTTCAATCATTCAAGTAGCATATCTAAAAAGTAAAAATTATTATATGTGTGTAAAGATGATATTTATTTTCTTACCAGTCTTTTGCACTGACCAGTATAATCACTTTAACTTTTGTTAAATATTTCTTAGATCGTACAAGGAGAAAAATAAGGAAATAGCCTGCTGTGTTTCAAAAGATAACCAAGACTTTTTAATATATTTCTTGTTCAGGGTTATTCATTATTCAAAATAACCAATATAATTTAATCTGGAAGATAATATATCAATTTGTCTAGAAATGAATAGTTTCAATTTAAGGAATCTTTAGACAAATTCCTGTAAAATGTTTCGAGATATTGAATTTCCTAGCTGGCGTATAGACATTTAACTTGCACTTTAGATTATCCAGCTGATGAAAAATAACATATTTAAAAAAAGTCAAATTGAATAAAAAGATAATTTGATCATAATCACATCTATGTTCATCAATACTATTAGTTGTATCTATTGGTTAGTCATATGTTTGGACACTTAATTTGTTTTTGTGTTTTAATATCCTTGCCAGAAAATGTAACCATTTCGTTGTAAAGAATATAGCTTAGTCATCTTCCTACAAATTCTGCAATTTCTTCTAATTAAACAGGATAAAAATCTAGATATCAACAAATTCCGTTAAAATAATTGATAATTATATTGAAATGAGCTATCTCGAAACTATTTTAAATGATTCCATGAAATGATATGGCTAGATGCTTTTTTATATATTAACACATGTTTTAATATCCAAATTATTATTAATATCAATATAAATAAACCAATATTTCAATTATATTCATAACTGGTTTAATTTGTGATCACTGGCGCGTTTAGTGAGGACATGAACATGTACTCCATTTATTGAACATATCTAAAACTGGTGATTAATTTATTAAGGAAATACTGTGTAATCTATTGATTTATTGAAATAAATATACCGCTCATGTATAATTTTATCTTTTTGTAAATGCATGAATGTGCTTAATGAAAACTCATAATCTAGTCCTCAGCTGAACACGAGAACGTGCACAAATTTAAACGATGACGCCCATTTAACGTAATAAAAACAGCTAAATCTAGCTGTAACCGCTGCTTTATTAAAGTTTAAAGAAAAAATAGGCCAAATTCATTCCGAGAAAATAGAAATAAAACTTGTTTACATTGTATACACATACGGGAAGCAACTCTGTAGAAGTCACTTTACGAGACAGGAATTTCAACGAAAGAAATATCATTTTTTTAATGCTACTATTTGGCAAATCAAGTTTATTAAATACATTTATACACGTCATAGACGGGCAAGCAGGAAAGTTATAGTCGGCCCTGAAATGAACAATGCCCTCGGGGCCATTATTCATTTCGTGGGCCGATTATCACCTTCCGGTCCTTCTCTGTCCTGTTTTAATCTCTTAATAATATATCTTCTATTTATTGTGTTTCTAATCAAGTGATAATCAGAGTTTCTTAATATGTAACATGGCAACATTTCAATGTCCCATACGAAGTAAATCGTTTATCATGAATTCTTAACTATCAACTTTGGCTGATTACAGTTTAAAAGTATTCAATTATCTAGTTTTCGGAAAATGGATCCAATTTCTTTCCGAAGTGATTGTTTTAACTTTGTTTGATATCATTCTCAGGCAAATAAATCACCCGTTTAAGGTTTGCGAAAATCGATTGAGCATTATTAATACACGTTGAGAAACAATAATTTGCTTCCTTTTGTTTTATTTGTAATAAATTCCTGTAAAGCAAAAACGTAAAAAAGCAGGCAAATCAATTTTACGTTTAGTGCAATGCAGCAAAACGTTATCCTTAACATCTGAATACATAATTTAATAGAATTTTCCATATATGTGAGTTAACTGTTTCTTATATTAATAAAGAAATGATATCTAATAGAGGTGAAATGAATAAATAAATTAGGTACTTAACACTATTCTACCTTTTCGGACAATGTATTGCATTGTGTTTATTTATTTCGATAGTCAGTTTCGATAGTATGTTTATATATTTATAATTACTTTTATATAATTGTTTGATACTATGCTTATATATATTTATAAAATTATATCACATATTCTTATTTTAAACATATAACAAACAAGTGTTTAATGAAATCATTGTTAAACGTGTAGTACTGCGGTACTCATTTAATAGAGTTGTTTTATTTCGTCTTGACATTTACGACATTTAAATTGGGCAGAATAACTGATTGCTTTGTAATACAATTTTATGCTGAATTTTATGACGTGTTTAAAGATGTAATTTTAAATTTCCTCACAGTTCCACTTTTAAAAATTTGCTTTTTCTTACGTAAGTTTGACTCCAGTTTCAATTTAAAAATGTAATTATTTTATTTCTTACATGTAATACATAGATTCCTTAAAGAGAATGATATACTTCCTTAGTGTGTTAGATAATAAAACTGTTTGTTGTTAGGAAAAAACAACCTACCACATAAAATCGCATGCTTTAATGTTTATTATCTAAATCAAACTATTGTCTACCTTAAATTTGGTCTGTGATGTTCTCTTTCATGCATCTATGCCAATCAATTACATTTAGATTTATTTTTTGTTTAATCGTTATGAAGAAATATTTTGTGTAGTTTTATTTCTCGTACAGGTATACGATTGTATTGTTTTACGATGTTATTGCATACAATTTAACTTAATCTAATCTAAATTTTTGTTTTAGTCACAGAATACAGTATGTCACCCCTTTCTTTCAATTTGTTCGACACAAAATGTATGTCAAGCAATATAATACTAACTGTTATAAACAGAATATTTTGTGTGTTCAGTATCTTCATTTTCAAATATATCCCTCAATTATGACAAACACACCCGCCGAGTATTATCAAGTAGTACATTTTAATTAAACGAGAAAATATATTTATTTAATATGGGTTGACGTCATTCTATATAAGTATCAATCGCGGCCAGCTACTAAGAAAATTAAAGAAATTATAGGCCTTTCTCAAATTATATGCATACTTTACATTCCATCACCAGAGAGAGACTAACAGGGCATGAATGTAAACAAGTAATGTCTGACCTGATAAGCCCAAGTGTGTTAAACTTTCAAGGGAAAATATAATTTTTATTGTTGTGTTTCACTCTGTTATTCCAATTCTAAATATGATTATACGGTAAATTTTCATAAAATACGTAAGGATGTGAGTTAAATAAAGGAAGGGATTGTGGAAATAAGATGGGATGAACGAGAACATTTCGAGGTAAAATTTCATTGTTCTTTTCTTTTTTAAACTAAGCTACTTTAGATGTATTACTACTTGCATTAATTAATCTGATTTCTCATTGTTTTAAATGTTTCATTTAATTATTAACATAATAAATTGTTTTGTTCATTAATTTCATTTAAATATCACACTTATGATTAATCTAAATCAATACCGTTTTTATACTAAAAAACAATAACAGTTATTTTGTTTACCATTTCAGATCAATATATGACAAGACAATATTGCTTGTTTTGAAGCATTTCACACAATAAGATTAACAATCATGGACACAAATATATATATGTGAAGAGAATAGATGTACCCTCTTGGTTCAACTGGAGAAGTAATAAACAGACCAGTAAGATGAACACTAAAGAAGATTTTTGCCAGATGAAAGGTAGATCACAAGACTTAATTTTCATTTTGACACATAAATAAAGATCAGCTACAGTAAAAAATATTATAAATGCAATTACAATATAAATTGATATATTCTAGAAATGTCATAATTCTTGTTACCACTTCTAATAATAAAATGTATATATATTTTTCAGGAATTCCATTGGTAACAGTCATGAACACAAATTGACAACTGCTATTTGAATCGCCTTAAGTTGTAATATCTCTTCATGGCAGTTGCAGAACAGATGAAAAAGAAACTATCAAACAGTTCAAAGAAGAATTACAGAAAACTGAGGAAGAAAATAAAATGTGATATTGAACTTTTGATACAAACAAATTTTTAAATGATAACAGTTGCATATCTTGTTTATTTTGGATTTTCAACATATGTATATTCATTACAGTTTTCAATGTTTAAAACATCAGCAAAAACATTAAGAGCTTTTATTATGAAGCAAGCAAAACAAACAGCTTGACTGATAGAAAGAGATAGATGTTGCAAGCTGACAAAATGTATTTTTAGCATATTTTAAAGGACCATTTGTTTAGTCTTTTGTGTCTTAATTCAAATAAAATAATTAAAAAGAAATCATCGCATTACTTTGTTTTTAACATTACTTTGTTTTTAACATTGTGCTTTGTTACATATATGGTGCAGCTGTACAGAATATGTCAACACGTTAATAACATTTAATATTTTGTCCTCTTATTGCATTATATACTGTTGAGTGAATGCTAAAAGAAGTGCTGAAGCTAGATGCTGTCTTTCCTAATACCCTCCCTCCGACTGCAAGGTCCTGCACATGTATTCTCCCCTAAGTAAATGGAAGTCTAGGGTTGTTAAGTCCAGGCAACATCTTCTGGAAGTGTTGTGTACCCCAATGATTTGTTATATATCAGCTAGTACAGGGTTCAACAATATGACCACATTATCAAGTCGGACCAACTGGACAAGTGCAATAAGCTAATGATACCTCAGATTTGACTGATATGTGCAATTAAATGATTGTAATTTGTTAAATACTAAGTATTTAATACTGTAATTAGTTAAAACAGTTGATAATATATAAGTTTTACATCCGTTACTTAGCATGAAATGTATGTTTCCAATGCTGTAAACAACATCATGTGTTGAGATACTGAAAATCCATTGAAATGTCTAAGACGGGGGTGTGGTGTCATGTCTAAACAAAATTGTTATTTTGATTTGGTAAGGCTGTCTGTAAAGTTAACCAGTTACTAGACAGTCATCCAGAATTTTTGATTTTCAAATACAAAATGAATAAAACTTATTGTTTTTTTTTTATTTATTTTTTTTTATTTCAATGGCTAAATTTAGGGGAAGTATGGTACAGAATTCAGCATCCAACTGTTTACATCTATTATCAGTTAATTGCCTTATACATTCTTGACCAACATGTGTTTAGGTAAGCAATAAAATACTGATAACACAGATAATGTCTGTATAAGTTGCAAAGAGTTAACCTGATATTTATACTTGTCACAGAATATTAGGAATTAATTGGAATTATCATAAACATTAATTCACTTTTCAGGTCTTGAATACATGTGTATCCTTCATTGTATATAGCGTAAAATAAACCATTTATCTCCAGAAGAGATTTTTGTAATGTTAAATATAACATTCAACAAGAATGTAGTACTATTAGTACTATATCAAGATCTCTAAATCTTTCGGCCATATATTCGTGATATGTTTACATAGAGCAGACACTGGAGCTTGCCCTGTTAGCCTCGTTCTGAGAAATCTATGAATATGTATGAGGTAATATTAAGAAGGGTCTATCATGTTTCTTCTATATTATTATATAATCTCGACTGGCATTTCTTTTTTAAATACAATGTCATATAGGTTAATTTACATTAGCTGTAATGTAGAAATAAAACATAAATCAAGTCTGTTTACACGTTTCAATAAGCAAGCTTATTTGAATTGAATGAATGTTTATCTTTAATCAATAAGTGACGCAGCTTAAAATCGATATGATCATTTGTAAAGTTGTATTTTAAAATATCAACTACGTCATAGATAGCTGCTTTATTCGATATAGTTAACTAGAAAGTAAGAGAAAACAAGATTATATATTGATTGATTAGGGTACGGTGTCAGTAGACATTAGAACAAGTGTTTTCTTTATATTATTGCTTTCGTTAGATATTAAATGTTTCTATTTCTTTTAACAAGGTTGTAGTAAATAAGAATATAGTTCGTTATAGTTTACTTAGGATTTTCAAACCATTTATCATTTCAGAACAACTGGCAATAAGACATTCAAATTAAACATGACAATACATATTTTAATTGTAGTTTTGTCTCCTTATCGTTATTCAAATATATTTATTGGGAATTTATAAAAGATTCTATTTAAAACACAAAATAACTTTTTAAGTAAATAATATTTTCAACTGCATTATGTTGTAGATTACCGCTAACTTAAATTGGAAATATTTTGAAAGATAAAGATTGTTATATTGATTGTTAACATTTGAAGCTGATTTTGATATATCGCACTCAACTATTGAGGGCTTTTGAAAAACTTTTAACATTTTATATTGTTATTTTCAAAATTCAGATAACATAATTTAACATAAATTCCGTTGTTTTATTGGGATTCTCGTTGTATTATAGTATGTTTCATATAAAGTAACAAATTAAGATAATACGAAGTACATCGTGTAACATGTTGCTATAAGCGTAAAGATTAACAACAGGATAACGTATAATAAATTGATAACATACTGATGGTGATTGTTATCCGTAAAATCATAATAATAGTTATCTTTTCTATGAAATAATATGTCAAAAAGATATCATTGTATTTTGTAAAGTGTTGCTATAAAAATTGTTATCTGAGAAAAATGCAACAACAAAAACAAATAATTATTGTGGTACTTAGCACTTATCTTAAGTAAGAAAACTTACTTTTCAAAACATTTTTTAAATGTTCTAAAAAAATAGCATAAATATAGAGACGTGCTGATTTAAGGTTCATGAACAGACGAGGTCTAAAAACGAAGAGAAGACTTTTATTTTATCAATAAATAAATATCATAAACAAATTGTTTGTAACTATGAAACAATAAATAACATAAACTTTGATAGCTATAGACATACATCTCAAGAACCAGCGAATGAGAATCGCATCTGAACTTTATAAATCAAAGGTCAATACATTCCTCAAAGCAATCAAATAAATGCGGCAAATAGGAAATCAAAATTATATTGGTTCATATGAAAAATGGTAATTAGTTGGCAATTGTGACCAGTTTTATGTTTTTACATGTATCAGCACTAGATTTTTTGGGGGTGACTGACAGTTGTTTCTATCAGTTGAACATTTTACTGACCTTTATAAAGATCGTTGCTTACTTTGAACACTACACTAACCAAATTCGTAATAGCTCTTCATTTTGAATAGGCTTGAAAAAAGATTATACATATGATCGATATTTTGCTCGATTTTAGGTTATTAGTGATTTCCTTTTCGATAGGTATTTAATAATTTTATAGCATTGAAAATTGAATATATGATTTTATATGTAAAATTATCACTGATGTTTTTATTCATATGATATTTGATCATTACGATATGATACTTAATATCAATATAAATATAGCTAAATGCACAATTACTTAAAAGCCCAAGACCACAGTTGTTTTTACATTATGTTATATGCATACTCTGAATAAAATTGCAAATTTCTAAATGATTCAAATAAAAATCATGTACCTCAGCTAACTAACTAAGTGGAAAATTTAGTGAGCTGTAATTAGGCTACCTTTTTCATAAAATGCATATGATGGTACAGTGTCATGACGGCCAAAATCTGGCAATACACCCATGTCAAAAATTATAATTGTTCACATGCTAAAATTCAAATTGTTTCGAACTTCTCATTTATCAGCCATTTTATATCTGCTCGCTTGAATTATGCCTTTTCATGTCTTTCATTCAAAATTTCAAACATATTCAGCATGAAACATAGGCAGTATTTGTCGTGTACATATTGCCGTATTTCGGCAACAAAGGACACGTAACTGTGGTCTTATGCTTATTTGGATGAATAACTGAGACTTTACAAATATCGGTACTATCGTTTACTAGCAAAGGTAGCATACTTATACAGGCCTATACCTGTATTCTTTGAAAAGTTATTCCCCATCATGCTGATCTTTCTTTCCTGTTTTTTAGCAATTAGAGGAGATTTATTCAAGCTACCTTCCTGACATTCTAATATATGAATTATCAGATGAAGTGCTGACTAATTTTGTCTTGGATAAGATAAATTTTGACTTTCTTTTAAAAATTGACATTTTTTCTGTTCTGAGAATAGAAGACATGATAAATGCTTCTTCCTACAGATATAACAGGAAAAGTATATTACATATAATTAACTCCTGTCAGATACATATCGATAACCTGCATTACAAACACTGCAAAATATTACAATGATTTACGTGATGTATCACACAATGACAAACATTGTATAGTAAAAGAATAATTCATAAATATTAACGTGACATCACGATTCTGGCTAACAAAATAAAAAATGGAAAAAAAATCATTAAATGTAAAAATGTATGCCATAACACACCGTACCGATTACATGGCATATATGAATGAACATTCAAACGTTTAGAGCCTGTGGAGCCGGATTTGATTTAGCACTTTTAAAATTGGTGCATACTATTGACTGTGTTTAGATTTCAGAAGGAATTGTAATTTGCTATAATACTTATGCATATCGGACGGTGCATATGTTTACAATAAAATAGACTTATCCGAAAATAAGGGAGATCAGAGTCGATATTAAATATTTGATAATTAACTTGCAGCAACCGTGTTTCGTTTGTCGCGTTTGTGTCATCGGAATTTAACGGGTCATTATAATACTTTTTGGCGCTGGGTACTGGTTCCAGACACTCTTGTATGTCATTGAAAGATTTTACGAATTAACTATACTTAGGCGATTTTGTATTTATTGTTTATGTTTTACCTTTACCTTATTTAACATTGAACACTTATAAGTTAAGCACAACCGCTAAGCATTGTTATTAAGAGGGTACCGTAGGTCTTAAGATAACGATTTCCTAGGTGAGGTACATGTTCCTAATTACGCTTTGAAATCAATTATTTAATATGAAATAATTCATACACACCTCTGATTCATGTCGAAAAGTTTGCAGTGACTTTTCGCCGCGATATAACTGAAGTTCTTTTATAAATTTTGTAAACCATATAGTTGATTAAATATAAGAAGCACAAAATATATTGGATATTTCATTAGATTTCCTACAGAATTGCTTTGAAAATAATAATAAAACACTCCTCCTAAGACGTCAAACCAGGTGCTTGCGCAATAGGAATTAAATACTATTAAATATCCGTGTATCAAAATACAATATATACCAATAATGGTTCGCACTTTGATTTCAATTTGGAATAAAATCGATATGCAAATAAACGCATTTGATTTTTATTTATGAGTTTCAGATCTCAAATTTCCCTCAGTGCATTTCCGAAATAAATATTTGAGCGATCGTGAATTTGTTTTCTGTTCAACGCT